CTACTTCCTGGCAACTTTTTTCCAAGGTTGGTTCGATTTGCATCGACAGCCTATCATTGACGGAGAGGAACATGCGGGCATGCAGGAGGCTATCGACCGTTCCTCGTCCAGTACTAAAGGCATCGGCCAGTATTTGCAGAAACTACTTGAAACAGTTGAAACATGGTGAAAGGGAAGTTGAATCCAATACCAGTAATTTTTCTTGCTCTTTGCAATTCAGAGATGAGGTATCCACAGCTTGCTACAAGCAGCTGTAGATCGAGGCCATCAGGGGATTGGGCTAAGCTAAGCATGGCGTTTGCTCTTGGTGCCAAGCATGGCGTTTGCTCCTTGAAGCAGGTGTCTTTTGAAGCGCTACAATTGCCCATGGCGATTCTACAGAATAAACAATGACATTTCCTGTAAAAAATCTAAAAAGGCTCTGCAATGTATTGATTGTATTTCGTATGCAACTCTATGTCATGTATAGTACCTGGATAATCTGTCGAGGAGATTGGATCCTCACATATCCTCACTGTTAAGTAGACAGTATATGCAATACGAGCTGCTTCTGCCAGCTTTCCTCAAAATCTGACAGCTTTGCATCCTGGCAGGATTTCCTCCGGAGCGCATTGTACTCTGCGGTTTCAGCCAAGGCACCTGAAATATCCAGATTTGCCTTTGTGTTTCCCCGGCGTTCACGAAGTCATTGCTTTATTATTCTCTATCTATAATTGCTTTATTGTCTCTCGACAATCGACATTTGCGGTGAGGGAGTCCACTTTTCACGTCAGCCGTGCAGAAATCATGCCCTATCCCCACGTCCTTGGGCATCACAGTCTGCCACGTTTACGCCAAAGAAGATACTGGATCTATGATCTATGTAGAAAGTACCAAAGTTGACATGCTCACACTCAAGCAGCCTCCTCAAGCCACCAGGAGGCACCACAACAGCCCTGAGCCCTCCATAGCTTTGAACAATACTGCCAATTGAAGTCCTTCTTCTCGATATTTTAAAAAACCCCACTTAACATCCTGTTTCTAACAAAACTCCATTCATTTCCTAACAAGCCACTGAGGACTCAACACTGCATGATATTCCTGTGTGTCTCCATTTTTTCACTCACTGTTCGCCCTGCTTTCTTTTTTACATTTGATGTGGCAGGAGGAGCGTTGGCGTTGCAAGCTGGCCTCTCCTTCCCTCACACTTTGGCTGGCATTTGTTCTGTCGCTGGATGGCTATCTTCAGGGATGCCGGCAGCTGAGGCAGCTGAAAGGTGGGAGATGCCCATTTTGATGTGCCATGGATTTGATGATTCCATGGTTCCCATTGAAGTGGCTCGAAGCAGCTGCGCCTTGGACTTGAACTTGACATAACTTGATCCATCTTGATCCATCTTGATCCTATCAGCACAGCTTTGGACAATTCTGATCAATTCTGGTGCAGCTGAGGCAAAGCCTTGGCAGCTTTGGGCTACAAGAAGGTGAATTTGATTACTTTCAAAGGATTGAGACATCAGTTGAGCACCTTGCAATTTGAAGACATCATGGACTTCTATCGGCAGCTGCTTCCACAAAGACTGGAAGAACCCTGCCCAGTAGTCTCGAAACTTGGTAAATGGAAAACCTTGGCAGGAAGGAGGGCATTGGATTGATTTCCTTTGATGGATTGATGGCGAGTGAAAGTACCAGACTGCCCTCGCAAGAGCGAACCACAGTCCGAAAAAGACATTTGATTCGAAATTGGATGCAATTGGAACAAGTCGGACCATGTGGTTTTCATTCTGTTTCCTGTGAAGAGTTCGAGGATTCCGCGGCCAACTGGGTGCATTGTTTGGATGCACGATGCTAGCATTGCCGGAGATGTAGACGAGCACATTTTAGTTGGAAGGCTCGGGTATTCTGCGATGTTTAGGTTTGGGAGTTTGCTCAAAGCCACATAGCTTGATCCAGGCTGCATCAGTGCCTGCCTGATGTGCAATTGATTCTTCAACGGGTGCCTCCATGCCGCGAGGTGCGAAGGATTGCGAAGGGGCAAAGCCCGTGTTGAAGTACTGGGAATATCTGTGAATGCAAGAGTCATGAACCCCACCTCCTTTGATTTTGTTTGCAGCACCCAAAGCCACCGAATATCACGACATCAATGAGTTGATGACATTGATGACATGTGATGATTCTTTCTGAAGATTCCACCGGCTCTCTTGTGATCTCACCTTCTCAACAAACTTGGTGCAGGGCAAGAGCTTTGGAAGGACATTGCTGGATGAAATCACAGAGCAACTCCGAAAGGCACACCGCTTGTTCTATGCGTGTGGTTTGTATTTTGGTGTAGTGGGCGGCCTTAAGAGATTTATATAGAGTTGGGAAATCTTCCGGAAGGTTTTCACATGTTTTCACCTACTAGGGACTACTCCATTTGCCAAGTGTAGCTCTCCAAATCTTTTTCTTGAAGCCGCTATTGCAAAGTGGTCCATCAGCCATCGCATCCTGCAGGCCAGCGCGGGAGGATGGCCATTGTCCTCGGTGATTCTGGGTGGTTTCGGTGCCGGTGGCACTGCTGCGCTGCTTGGATTGCTCTTCCCACAGCTTGCTGGGCTTGTGTCCCTTGGATAGTCTGAAACACAGGGCTGGTTGTAGCATGTCGAGACATGCTGAGAACAAACAGATATTGTATGATATTGTATGGATAGTCATGGATAGTCCAGATAACTCACATTACTGCAGGGAATCGTCGGTAGCATCCTTAAATATCCTTAAATGATTTATTGACTGCCACAATGATAGGCGCAGCAGGGCGCAGCACACCAGATCTGATTGTCATCGCTTTTGTCGTCGTCTTGTTAAGGTCATGTTCAGGTTTCCTGGCAGATTGCTTCCCTGAGCAACAAGTCGGGTAGCCCAACACGTGCTGTCCCCATTGCTGTCCCCTTTCTTGCAAGTGCTCCATTGGACCATTATCGGACTATTATTGGATCATGTCACCATGTCCTGAAGGCTGAGTCTGGAAGTGACCAGCTCATCCTCTTGACGCATGGAGTGGAGGATGGGGGATCATGACCCAGTGGAACAGTTTTGCACTTCCTTTGCTTCTAAGATTTCTGTGACACCGTTACCTTGGCAAATGCAACAGAGGACAAGATCGTTCCAATCGCTTCAGCTCGACAACAACGAGAAGCTCTAGGCTCTTATGGTAAGTGATTTTGCAAGAGGTTTTCGTGGGTTCATTCGCGTCTGAAGCACGAGCACCATGTTTCTGCAAGCATTGAACTACAAAGTGTGTATGATCTGCCAGCATCCTGTTTCTACAGGATTCTGTTTATCTTTCTTCCATGTTTTCCTATAGTTTTTGAGTTTTCCTGCTCTAGGCTCTTATGGTTATCGAGGAGAGTCTCAGCAAAGTTGGCAGTTGGCAACAATGCAATTTCGATGTCTTTCAAGACTTGCAAGAAGAGGTAACATGGGTATTACATCGCTTCCCATGGTATTACTATTATATACTTAACTTGATATGAACACATCTGGAAACTTCCGAAGTTTGCGGATCTTTGCGGTGGAGCCTTAAGGTGTCCTTCAGCGCCTTTCAAGATCTGGGGCATCATTTCTCTGTCGAAGTTTGGGACAATGTCATTGAATTCGCAGAGATCGCCTTGGATCGCGCGCTTGATGAATGATGAAAACAATGATGCCAATGCGCATCAAGTGGGCACTGGGGACTGCATTCTTTCCCGTGCCAGTTGGTTTAGCTTCAGTGATTGACTCCCTATCCTGTTCAAAGACAAGCAAAACGCTTGAAGATGGGATGGGGATTCATTGCACAGGAAAATCAAATACTACAGGATCCCTACACCGACGGCCGACGGGGCCTTCCATTCCTTATTGAAATTGACCAGCGCTTGGGGCTTCGTGTACATGACATCATTCTGTGCAAAGGCCTCTTTCTGCTGTTGGACATTGATGATCAAGGTGCCAATGATCTTGTTATGGTTTCTGTGTTCAGCTGGCATTGCCACTTAAGTATACTTAAGTCATGGTGTTGAAACCTTTCCCTGTTGCTATTTCCCCTTCTTCCTCCTCTTCTTCTTCTCCTCCTTCTTCTTCTTCTTGGTCTTGTCTCCTCCGACGGCATCCTGTTGCTATTTCAACTTCAACTGCGCGATGAAAGGATTCATCGACGTGGAGGAGTTTATAGCTGGGTGTTGCAGAATTCATGGCCCAGCCAAGGCACCATTGCAGCCATTTGCAAACTGAAACTGACCTGTATTGAATCAAAAACATGTTTTTAGTATCATATATAATGCAACAACATATTTTGCATATGAACGCACTTTCTGCAATGCATATATGAGGTGGACATGGATTTTGCATAGGTCAGCCATCGCTAGCATGTCGACAGGCTATCGATCTGACGACTTTGATGTGCCAGGCTTTTGACACTGTGCTTGCATGGCTGGAACATCCTGGAACATTTGTCGATCCAAAATTCATGTCGTTGACGGGTCCTGCATCTCACAGGTTCGGAAGTTGCATATGGAGCTCCGTGACCATGCGCAGTGGGTTGTGGACTGATGCTGATATGCCTGCCCATGTGTGCAGATATTCTGCTGATCACTGTTGGTGCTTCCTTCATCAAAGGCAGTCAGCAGATCAATCCAGAGGTAGAGACTCATTCTGCTCGTTGCAGGAATGCCTGTCAACAGCTGGATTTGCAACTCCGGCCAGATTTCTACTCGCAGTCAGGCCAAGATTCAAGATTTGCTTACCCTTTCTTGCAAAAAGATGACAGTTCAGAATCCTAACTTAGCAATTTTTGTTTTATTAAAGTCATGTTTTCTTAGATGCGAGATTTCAGAGGCCTGTAGCGATCACATAATGCTTCCTTGGAGAAACTGCTTCCCTACATTCTATGCGGTGCGATGTGGTGCATGCCGTTCCGAGGTGAATAGTATGTACGGAGGCAAAGGCTTAAGGGAGCGCACAGTGCTTGAACCATTGCGCCACACGTGGGATGCACACCCGGCTATCGGTTTCTGGCGCCCTGACAGGCTCACCCAAAAACCGCAGGCACGGCCAGACGGCCAGACTTTCAAATGTGTAAAGTGCTCCTAAATGCTGAGATCTGCGAAGCCATGCAATGCTGAGCTTTTCCAACTTCAGGGCACCCAGCTTCGGTTTGACGGCACACCCAGAGAATGCCATGGAGGCCATTTCACATCATTTCGCTTTGCCGCTTTGCCTTTGCAATTTGAATCTGCTTGCGGAGCAGCGTGAGCACCTGTTTTTCTTGGGCTAAAAGAAGCCTACGGCAGGAAAGTTGTTGTCGACCTACCGCAGGTATGTCTGCATGTCATGTAGTGTACAGATACTACACTTGTTCATAGCCAAAAGGTCAGCTTTGAAAATCCCTTATGCACTCCCCCTTTGGCACGCTGCCAAACCTGTACTGGAGGGTGCACTTTTCAACTGCCTAGAGGCTTTGCTCTTGTCTGATGGCGCAAAACGCCTAGTGGAGTAGCACCTTTAGTGCACTCACTTCCCTACAGCTACCATCAGATTTGGGTCGTAAAGACAAGACCCCTTGCACGCCTAGTGGCCTTAAACACTAGGCCTTGGAAAAATTGCTACGGCCAGTCAGGCCCAAAGCTTCTCTCAGCTGTGCTCTTCATGGGCGAACTCCTCTTCCGGGTCATAGTCCGGAGCGCCCTCTTCTTCTCCATGGCGTTCTTCTTCTCCATCATTCGCCAGGCCATTGCCGTCGTGCGTGCCCTCTGCTCGGCCCACAGCTTCATGGCCTGCTTCTTCATGGCCATCAGTTTCATGGCCTGCTTCGTCATGGCCATCAGTTTCATGGCCACCAAGGTCGTCCTCAGGGATCACCTCGAGCTCCACCTCGACGTAGTCCTCTTCATCACCTTGGTCTTCTTCTTCTTCAATCTCCTCTTCATAGTCTTCTTCTTCAGGGTCTGCTTCGGGGTCAGATCCCTCATCATCTGCAGCTGCATCTGCATGAGCTCGGCTTGTCTTGCCTTTGCCCTTGGTCCGCAGGAAGTCGCGGTAGACCTCCAACCCCAGATTGGCGGCTCCTCTTCCCACTGGGGCTGCGCTTGAGCTCGAAGGTGCTGCGCTGGAGCTTGAAGCGCCCGTTGGCGGGTGTAGGATGGCATCTGCATCCAGGTACTGGTTCACCGCCACGGCTGCCTCCTCATAAGCTGCTTCTGCCCCCTCGCTGCCATTCCCATGGGTGGCCACGGCGTTTTCCGCTCGCCGTACCGCAGCGGAGGCCCGGCTCAGCGACTGCGCCAGTTGCAGTTCGGCCGCTGGATTTGCGCCCTTGCCCTGCAGGACGATGCGGCCCCCACTGCCTTTGCCCCCTTGGTTGGAGACGCGAAGTGCCCTTGGCTGCTTTCCCTTCGCATAGATGCGCTGCCATCCCGTCGTAGGGCTCGTCACGGAGTGGGTTATTGTGGAATCCTCACCCCTGGTGCCCTTGCCACGACGCTCCGGCCACCATCTGACCGTGTGGCCACGCCCCTTTCGGAGCTTCTGGGGCTCCCATGCAGAGCTCTTGCCGACCTGGAACTTGTTTTTCTTTCCAGTCAGCTCATCGGATCTTCTTTTCATCCGATACATGAACTCCTGGGTGGCCGTCCCCTCCACAGAGTCCTCCTCATCGTCTTCGGCTTCAGGCTCAGGGCTTGCCCGGTCGTTGCGCCGTGGGTCATCTCTGTCCCCAGGGCCATCTCCACCGCCGGCACCACTCGCAGCCATCGCCCCATGTTGAGGGTCCCGCCGAAGTTGAGGACGAGCTTTAGGGCGTAAAGCCGTCTGCTCGTTTTGATCCCTGTTGGTTTCATCATACTGCACATCCTCCAGGATCTCAGCCTCTGATGTGCTCGACAGGGTTCTCGACGGTGAAGGCACCCTTGGTGTTGATGGCGGAGTTCCCCCACATATTGGTCCAGCTCCAGCCAACCTGAGAATTCTCTGTAGGAGAGATTCTTCGGCACCTTCTCCTCCACCTTGTCCCTGTTGTTGTTCCGGTTGTGGTGGAGGAACTTCTCGTCGAGGCGGACCTGCCGTCCTTGTTGGTGGTGGTGTCGGCATTCCAGCTTTTGCCCTTGACTTCGCCATGGCCATCGCCAAGTCATGCCGAACCACATCTCCCGGTGTGCGAAGATCCACTTCAGGGCCGCCACGCTGTCGTTCCAACCATGCCGTCGCTTCTGCCAGTTCTTCAGGAGACCTATATCTCACTGGCCCAAGATCCAGCGACATGCTTTGTTGCGCTGGTGCTTGCCCTTGTAGTCCTGGATGAAAGCCTTGAGGTCCTCTTGGAGGTCCTTGGTGTTGTCGCCCTCCACATCCAGGTGCAAACCATTGTTGTCCGTGAGGTGCTTGTGGTCCATGGTGACCTTGTTGCACCCCTTGCCAACGAAAGCCAGGACAACATCCACCTCTCCAAACTCCAGCATATCCCTGCGGAGGTGGTGCCGGCAAATCCGGCTGTGGCGGTTGCATCCCGTGCTTTGGGTCCTTTTGGACCGTTTTGGCCCTTTTGTCTTGCTGCTGCTCTTCATCCTTGTTGGGCATCTCACACTGCCATGGAGGTGCTGGTGGCAACTTTTTCATCATCTGTTGCATCTGCGCCCACTCCTCATCTGTAAGCGGTCCAGATGCCGATGTCGTTGTGCTCCTCAGAACTGCTTCTCTGGTTTCACCTCGTTCTTGTTGTAGAGCTCTGCGGGCAATTTCTCGCTCCAGCCATGACCTCCGCAGTGCTGCTTGGCGCAAGTTCTCATTCTTCTCCTTGCGCTCTTTGTCCCATTCCTCGTAAGAGAGGATTCTGCGGCCTGCTGCTTTTGCCTCCGCAAACTGCCTTTTCGTCTCCTCCTCGGCAGCTTTCCAATCCACCGAAGATGGTGACGGCGTCCTTGGCTGAGGTTCCTTGGGCTCCTCAGCTTTTACTTCCTCAGGTTTTTTGTCTTCCTGAGGTTCTTCTGACGCTGGTAGTTCTTGTTGTCCCGAAGGTTCTGCAGCTTCTTGCCGTCTTCGTCTTTGTTGTTGGAGAAGTCGAAGGCGAGCCATTCTTTCATTTCGGACCCTTCTGGCACTTTGCATCTCCTGGATGTCTTTCTCCAACTGCGTCACTTTCTTTTTCACCCGTACCCTTCGGTACTTCTTCATTTTTGGCCCCTCTTGTTCCTGGGGCTCATCTCTTTCAACTTCTTCTTGATGTTCAGCATCTGCAACCTCTTCTGGATGCGCGGCTTCTTCTGGGCGTTCGGCGTCTCCTGGGTGTAGTTCATCATCCAGCATGATGACCCTTCTGACGCCCTCCTCCTTTTCTTCAGGCGTCCGTGAGGCCGGTCTCAAGGTTGCCCGCGAAGCCGGTTTGAGGCTTATTCTTTTTGGCTTCGGTTTCCCCGGGCATCTTTCAAACAATTTGCCAGGGACATCGCGGTCTATTCGATCATCACGATCTTCTTGTCGACCACGATCACCTTGATCTTCTCCAGGTTCACCGTGGCCACTTCGATCTTCACGATCTTCTTGCCAACCACGGTCACCTCGGTCTTCTCCACCATCGCTCATCACCGCAAAGAAGCGCAGAGCAGGTGGAGGTTGTCCGTCTATGTTTGAACCAGGCCGCAACAAAGTCAAAACTGCAGCCCGTTCACCATCAAAACTTTGCAAATCACCAGCAACATGTCCCAACGAAGTTCCCTTTGTTGTAGTACTCATGTTTTGGGTTTCTAACGACATAGTGCTTCTTTTTGGGTAACCCTTTCTGTTTGGGGACATTTTTTGGATTACTGGCGCAACCCCGGAACCCTTACCTTTTCCACTCCAGCTGCTGTCCACAAGTCGGTCTTGTTTGACCCTTTTGGTCCTCTTTTTGATCAAGCCCTGCGGGATGTCCATCAAATCCAAGCCCATCTCCCCCTCATCCGCGACCAGTCGTGTCGATGCCGAAGTCACCGACGATCCCATGGCTCCATCAGCGGATGAAAAAAGAGACATTGCCCGAAGTTGTGGTCCTTGACCTTGACCACCAGGGTCATCATCTTCGACCAACTCAAAGCTGCCATCACCTTCAGCATCCTCATCCAGCTGCGTAGTTGCCACCGGTTGAGTGCTGCTCTGGCTTGTCGGAGCAAGTTGTTGAGGTTCCTCTGAGGGTCGGTCACTTCCAGGTTGTGCTCCTTGCAGAGATCCTTGAAGTGGCCGTTGTGGGTATCCTTGTTGACCCGTTGAACTGCTGGAAGAAGCCCCATGCTGTTGCTGTTGTTCACGTTGAACAGCTTGGTGAACGCTCCCCCGTTCAGCTTCAACTGCACGTCGGAAGGCTTCTGCACGTTGTTTTGGTTGTGCTTCTTCTGGCCTTCTCGTTGGTCTTACCTTAGGCAATGCTGCCTTAGGCATCTCCGCTTGTTGTTTTGGTTGGGCCGCTGTCGGCCTTCTCTTTGGTTTTGCCTTAGGCGGTGCCGCCTTAGGCGCATGTTGCTGCATCCATTGTACTGGAGGAGCTTTGTAGTTGGGAGGTACCTGTCCAAGTTGCCGTAAATAGGCATTGCCATGAGGGTCTCCATGTGGAAATGGCACACCAGGATCCGTCTCTGACTCCACATCCTCTATGGGATCATCAGGATCTGCTTCATAGCGAATGGCGCTCACCCTCGGCACCTCATGCACTGATTGCAACCTTCCAGTCACATGCACTGATTGCTCCTGCAGAGCACCTTTTGGTGGCCTTGACGACTCCACCCCATTGCTAGCACATGGTCGCGCCCGATCCGTGGATAAACATCCAGGGACGTAAGCTACTCCCCCATACCCTGGAAAGAAGCTCTGTGAGCCATTACACCCAAGATTTTCTTTTGAATCTTCTGCCGTGCTGGCTCGGCTTTGTGGATGGGGTGGATGTGCCGCTTCATCCAAATTCCCTTTTGGGGGTTGGCCACTCTTGTGGTCCTTCTGCGGTCTTTTTGCCAGTCTTGTGGTCATCAGACTCTTTTCTTCCTTTTTTCTCGTTTCATTCAGCTGAGGTTCAGACGCCTCAGCAAGATTTTCAACCCCTGGTAGTAGGTCTCCTCCATGATGTAGGTCGAAACCTTCTTGTTCATATTGAACTCCATGCCGTTGGCGGTACAAAGACACTGCCACCATAGCCAAGCCACCAAGCACCAGTGGCTCTGAGTCCAT